AGCAGATGACAATCTTCTTCGTTCAGTGACTGCTTCTAACTGTAAGCAAGATAACTTTACATGTTAATGGCTGCAGAGTCAGTGATGAAGCAATTTAAGCAAGATTAATGCAACAAGATCTACTGTATTAGTGTATTTAGACTTGTGCAATTGCTTTGCTTGCTCATACATGTAAATCACAGCACATAATCTATAGCTTGCTTAGGCTCGCCCCCAGGCTTTAATTCTTCTATAAGTTATTAATACCAAATGATCAAAAACGCTAAATTAAGTACCAGCCAAATGTCAGTACCATGAAAATCGCTAAAATAAGTACACGCTAATAATTGTCTCCTTAAGGTAAGTGCAAAAGGTCCATTGCACCTGTATAATCACGTGATGCAAAATGGCAGTTTTCTGACAACTGTATCACAAAACTAGCTTGTACTGCAGAAAATAAGGATGATCCACGACGATTCTTGATAGTTGCGAGAATCACTGATGTATTGAGAATATTTCTTCTTTGCTTATATAGATATAAATATAAGACGGAGAAAAAGACAGCGCATCTTGACTTAAATCACATAAATCGATCTGCACTAGTTTAAGATTTTAAAAATAACTGCAATCATCGTAGTTTGTATTGAAGAAATAGAATTTTCACTGGCTCTGTTTTGATGTCTGAATTATTGCTAGAAGAGGTATGGTACTGGTGACCATTTTGCATCACGTGATACCAATAGAATGGAATGCAATAATTGCAATTTAGAACTGGGGGCTACAAGTACAACTTTGCACTCTAATAGCTAATCTATATACATAGCTATTATCATAACATGGGTCTAGTAATAACAGGATAAATGGTCACAGTTGAATTGACTGGCGATGTGTAAATGAAAAACTAATAGCACATTTTTAATACAAATGTAAAGAAAACACACAACTGTGAAATAGGCTTAAAAAGTTAGCATTAGAATGTTAGTTAACTGACATAAAACTTGATATATTGCAATGTGCATTTGTTATGCCCACCATCCACTATTCAACTTTGTTGAAAGCAACTTTGTGGTTACTTTGATCTTAGGGCAACTCGAGGGGCAACTCTGTTGCCTAAAATAGAACTGAGTTCTATTTTAGGCAACACAGTTGACAGCACATCAAAGTAACCACAAAGTTGCTTTCAACAAAGTTGAATAGTGGATGGTGGGCATTAGAGGTCTATGGTTAGAGCAACAAACACAATTCTGTTTCATTTTTTTTATCATAAAGATTTATTATAAAAATTCACTTAATACTAAATCTAATTACCTTAAAATAGGCACATTTGATGACAAAAAATTAAGGTAAAAAAACAAACATTATTTATATTATTTAGTTGAGGCAACCGGGTTTAATTCATCATCAGTGACACTTGATGTATGAGTGTATTGGTAGATAGTATGAGCATTTGTTGAAGCAACTGTTCCGTCTGTAAAGACATCACTGTAATCATTAGGTACTACTACATGAGAATAGTGTGCCTTTTTCTTCACGTCTTTTCTTTTTTTGCATTTCAATATGCAATAGGTATGGCACTTTAAAAACATTACCCATACTTTTTATGGAAAAAAGTTGCTAAAATTTTGTGGCTCATAGTCAAGTCAACTGTTAAAATAACAATAGTATTTTTACGAGTCACATGAACACAATAGATGTAATAGTAATTTATTTAGCAATAATAGATGCTGAGGTTCACAAAACACATACTGAGGTTCACGAAAACACACATCAGTAGAGTAGTCCTTACTGCTGACTAATATGATACGATGATGTCCTGGTATAATTATATTCAGTCCTAGCATTAGTAGAAGCTATGGTCTCGCTTGTAAATTGATTATTGCCATTGTTGTCTTCAGCATCAAGCACTATTGTTTCAAGCAACAATCTATCCTGTTTCTTCTCTCTCCTTCTATATTTTAATATGCATAGGTGGGTTATAACTATAACACCAGTGATGAAACCATAAGAGGATACAAATGAATAAAGAGATGCTACAACTGAAGTATCACCAGTGTAATGGAGTGTAAGAAGAGGAAAGAAGATCAATATCATTACTGTATTAACTATTGGATACACTACTAGTGGTAGTAACTGCTTGCTAAGTATTTTCCATTTATTATTAGTGACCAGTAGAGAATGGCCTTGATCTTCATTTTGCCTTTGAAGATGTAGTCGTGATCTTCTTACTGTTATGATAAAAATGATAGTGACTAATACAGACACTGCAATGTACATAGATATAGTAATGCTGTAACTGGCTGCAAGAAAATAGTATATTTCATTTGTCTCTTGTTCTGAAAACTTAATTTCCCATGTTTTTGTGCAGTCATTATAGTTTACAAAAGGAATAATGGCAACCCAAAGAAATGAAAGAAAGGACGATAAGATAGCAATTGTTTCAAATTTTTTGAAAGCTTTCAATTTTTTGAGGCATACGATACAAAGATAGAGAATGATGGTGAGCCAAAAGGTCAGGATTAGGTTGAAATGGTAGGTAATATGAGAAATAAGTACAAGTATTGCATCATAAGGAAACAAGAATTGAGATAGTGAGAAGACTAACATTGCAATCAGTTGGTACAATATCAGTCTTTGTACAATATCTTTATAGAATCTACTGACTATTACAAAGACCAGTGCCACTGTACATGCTATGACTCCTAGACCACCAAAGACTCCTTCTATTATGTCAATTTCCTCTGAATTCCCATCAACACAGTTACTAGTGTTACTGTCATTATCCATGCCTTGTATTTTGACCTTGAAGAAATAACCTTGAACAAAGAACTGAAAGAAGAGAGTTAAAGGAGGAGTAGAGGCGGGGCCAGACTAAAGGAGGGGCTGTTGGTACAAATTTGCTGACTCATCTTACTAAAATGAGTAATTAGAATAACTTTAAGACAGATCTAGATCTACATGCAATAAATTGCCTATGCATGTTTTTTCAAAAATTAGTTCCATTCTGAATCAAAACTTGAAATTAAAAGTGTAAAAATTCAATTAATAATTTTTCTAAACAAGACAACAATAAGCACAAAAATAAATAGTTTCATATAGCATCATAGTTAACAGATACTTCACTCATAGTGACACTTGATGTATTAGCACAGTGGAAGGTAGTACGTGCATTTGTTGAAGCAACTGTTTCTCTTGTGAAGACATCATCATGATTGTTAGACACTTTACAGAAAGGTACTAACTTGTCATTCTGTTTTGCTCTCTTCCTTTCTCTTTGCTTCTTCTTACACTTCACTATCCATAGATGTATTATAACAATAATACCAGTTATTAGACCAGAAGAGGATATTAACGAATAAAGATATATACCCTTTGCAGTACTGCCATTATAATAGACCACTTGTAGAGGAAGAAAGATCATTGCCATTACTGTATTAACTATTGGATATACTACTAGTGGTAGTAATTGCTTGCTAAGTGTTTTCCATTTATTATTAGTGACCAGTAGAGCATTGGCTTGTTCCTCATTTTTTCTTTGGTGATCCAATCGTGATCTTCTTACTGTTACAATAAAAATGATAGTGACTAGCATCAACAATACAATGTATATCAAAACCGTCATGCTGTAGCTGATTGCAAAATAATAATACAATTTATTTGTTCCTTGTTCCGAAAATTTGATTTCCCACATTGTTGTGCAGTCGTCATAGCTAGTGAATGGAATTATGAAAGCACCAGCAAAAGGCAGAAATGAAGACAAGATTGCAATTGGTTCCAATTTTGTGAAGGTCTTCAATGTTTTGAGGTGTACAATACAAAAATAAAGAATGATGGTTAGCCAGAAGGTCAGGATTAGGTTCAATTCATAGGCAAAAATTGGAGTAAGTGCAGCAAATGCTTTATAAACATCTAAATCATCAAATCTAAGAAGCATAAACTGAGATAGTGAGTAGATTAACATTGCAATCAGTTTGTACAATATCAGTCTTTGTACAATATCTTTATAGAATCTACTGGCTATTGCAAAGACCAGTGCCACTGTACATGCTATGACTCCTAGACCACCAAAGACTCCTACAATTATGCTGATTTCCTCTGTATTCCTATCAACACAGTTACTAGTGTTACTGTCATTATCCATGTCTTGTATTTTGACCTTGAAGAAATAACCTTGAACAAAGAAGAGAATTAAAGGAGGAGCTGTTGGTACAAATTTGCTGCCTCATCTTACTAAAATGAGTAATAAGAATAACCAGAGACTAAGACAGATCTAGATCTTCATGCAAGAATTTTTTTTAGACTGGAAGGAAAGCAAAGAAGAGAGTTAAAGGAGGAGCTGTTTGTAACTATTATGAGTAATAAGAATAACATTTGCCACATGTGCACTATTACAAAAATGAAAAAAAAAACTTTTAAAGATAAATCCTTTAAAGCGGATCTAGTGTCTAGCCAAACTCATTAGTTATCAAGCATAAGCAGGTTATTTTAAAAATACAAGAGATTTTTTGTGACCTTGTCATCATGAATTCAAGCCAAATTACTAAACTCTCTTCAGCAAAACATACTCAAATGTAAACATGACTAAACCCACTCTTTCAAATCATGCTGATCCTTCTACATTCCAGAAAACAAATATTACCAAACTAAGTGAGAAGTCGATCAATTCATTAGGCTTGCCCCTTTTATTTTTATAATAAAATGAAAAATAATAATAAATAAATAAAAGATAAAAATAAAATTTAATTAAAACTAAAATTTTTTTTTAATATTATTTTTTATATTTATTTATTTAGTATGCAAAATAATAAACTAAGAGCTGGATTGAACAAAGTGCATACTCTATAATTATATCAATTTCAAGTGTGTATGTAAGCTGTTGAAATAACAACAGTATCTGGACAATAAGATTACAATTTGCTGCTTCATCTTACTAAGATGAGTAATAAGAATAACTGAAGGATAAGACAGATCTAAATCTAGATTAATAGACATGACTCTACATGACTCTACATGCAATAAATTACCCATGAATGTTTTTTCCAAAAATTAATTCCATTCTGAATCAAAAAACTACACCTAAATAAAAAAGCAAAATAATTCAAAAAAATAGTTTGCTACACAAGACAATAATAAGCACAAAATAATTAAAATAGTTTTATATAGCATTATAGTTAGCCAATAATTTACTCATAGTGAAACTTGATGTACGAGTGTATTGGTAGGTAGTACGAGCATTTGTTGAAGCAACTGTTTCTCTTGTGAAGACATCATTGTGATTATTAGGCACCACACAGAAAGGTACTAACCTATCATTCTGTTTTGATATCTTTCTCTCTCTTTGTTTCTTCTTACACTTCACTATGCATAGATGTATTATAACAATAATACCAGTTATTAGACCAGAAGAAGATATTAATGAAGAAAAATATATACCCTTTACAGTGCTACCATTATAATAGACCACTTTTAGAGGCAGAAAAATCATTGCCAGTACTGTATTAACTATTGGATATACTACTAGTGGTAGTAACTGCTTGCTAAGTATTTTCCATTTATTATTAGTGACCAGTAGAGAATGGACTTGATTCTCATTTTTTCTTTGAAAATCCAATCGTGATCTTCTTACTGTTACAATAAAAATGATAATGACTAGCATCGACACTATGATGAATACTAATAAGGTTATGGTGTAGCTGATTGCAGAAATATCATTAAATTTATCTGTTCCTTGTTCTGAGAATTTGATTTCCCATATTGTTGTGCAGTTGTCATAGCTAGTGAATGGAATTATTACAGCACCAACTAAAGGCAGAAATGAAGACAAGATTGCAATCGGTTCCAATTTTGTGAAGCTCTTCAATTTTTTGAGGTGTACAATACAAAGATAAAGAACGACAGTTAGCCAGAAGGTCAGGTTGAGGTTCAATAGGTAGGCAAAAATTGTAATAAGCTCAGCAGACACTTTATAAATGTTTGAGTCATCAAATCTAAGAAACAAATACTGACATAGTGAGAGGACCAGCACTGCAATCAGTTTGTACAATATCAGTCTTTGTACAATATCTTTATAGAATCTACTGACTATTGCAAAGACCAGTGCCACTGTACATGCTATGACTCCTAGACCACCAAAGACTCCTTGCATTATGTTAATATTCTTTCTATTCCAGTCCACACAGTTACTAGTGTTACTGTCATTATCCATGTCTTGTACTTTAACTTTGGACTGGAAGAAAAGAGAAGAAGAGAGTTAAAGGAGGAGCTGTTTGAAAGAATTGGCTGAATCAACTTACTATGATGAGTAATAAGAATAACAATTGCCACATGTGGACTATTCGAAAAATGAAGAAAAAAAATAACTGCTTAAGATGACCCTTTAAAGTAAATATAATTTAAAATCATTACAAGCAGGACTTTTTTAAAATACATGAGATTTTTCAGTGACCTTGCATGTCATCATTAACTTTAAAAACTACCAAAACTTCTTCCTCTGACAATTTCGACCATACTCTCACATAAACATAACTAAACCCGCTCTATTGTTATTATAACATGGCTGTCCTTTTATGGTCCAGCAAACAATTATTATCAAAACTAAGAGAGAGAGAGAGAGAGAAGTCAATTCATTACAAATGCAGTTGAACTACAGCAGCAAATTTTGTCTCTTCCTCCTTTTCTTCACTCTAGCATAGACTATAATATCATGTTGGGGAGGCAAATGAGAGTAAGAGGACAAATGTAAATTATATCCTTTTACTTACCTAGAATTTATTGATAATGCTACAGTAAATATGATAAAAATACATATTACTAGTACTAATATTACAGCAATGCCAGCGATGATAAATACAGTAAGTTCTATGCAATGAATGAACAATAAGCAGATTATAGTATATATTGTAATAGTAAACCTGGTATATCAGTGTTAATAGTAGGTGATGGTGTAACGCTAACTGAAGGAGTAGGACTAATGTCTAGATATGTAATAAAAACAAGGATAAAAAGATTATACATTGTACTAAATACTTACTTATTACTAGTATAAATGGCTCACTACTGCCAGCTCCATTACTAAATGCAATACTCATATTGCACTGTTGGTTCTTAGGTACTGAGGCTGATCCTGTTATATTCATTGGTTTAGGAGCATTCTCCACAGGATACAAGTATTTCACTTGCTCAATACTATGATATACCACACCTGCTCCATTACACCATATGATAATTGTAGCATTTTCAGGAGCTTCACCAATGCACCCTAATGTAACCTAATATTAATATTAAATGATAATTAATATAAATAATTATAATAATAATTATATCATGGCATGCATTACTGGTATATTATATGAAACAGTAGCAGTCATCTGATTAAATGTTTTTAAGTTTGAACCAGTTCCTGAAACTGATCTTGGCACTATGAACAGAAATAAAATCAATTACTGATATTATTACTATTTGTCTCTTACCTCTTTCATATGAGAAAGTCTCATTATGAGATATTCCTTCTCCTAATTCATTAACTCCAATTATAACATATGTATAATGATGAATCAATAAGTTATTATTCACAAACTGATAACTGGTATCATATACTGATACATTATTCACTAGACTGCCAGTAATAGCATCGTATGTTCTTAGTATGTAATACTGTATTGGTACTCTATCATCAACCATAGGAGCAGTCCAAGAGACACCAATAGTAGAACAATTTTTCACTGCAGAGTTGATATTAGTGACTGGTCCAAGAAAACCTAGGAGCTGAATTAAAAATTGTGCAAGAAAATTTCTATTACCAAATTTAAAAAGAGGTGTAGATAGGAAATCTCCTCCACTATTACTCAGGGATACATTAACAATAAATGTATTTAAAGTAATAGGTACAGTTATTACTCCAGTAATCATCAGTTGACCATTAACTTCTGGTGTTATACTGGCATTATTTATTAGTGCATTATCGGTATGTAGTATATTAACTGCTATACTATCAGGATACTCCCCCTTACAAATTGTTACGACCTGTTAGCATAGAAGGAAATTGTATAATAAGCTATTAAGAATTATGTCTCCATTCATGTGCATGGCAAAGTAAATTATAGTTGCTAATTTTTATTTGATAGTAATGTAAATAGATAACAATGAGTAGTAATATACACAGTAAGAGAAGGGTATCTGCTATTATATATAGCCACAATTAAGCCCATAGCATAATCATAAGAAATAAGTTGTACATGATACTGCTCATTAAAGTGGGTTGAGTGGCATGAAGCACTTACATCAATACTGATATTCAATGATATTTGCTGTCCATCAATTACTGGTACCACTGATACAGGAGGAGTATTGAGAGGAACTGAAAGATAATTATAAAAATGTAACAAAAGTTATACTTTGATATGGCAATTTGTGAAGGAATATAAAATTAAAAATTAGCTGGTAGAACACACACATACACCATGGGGCTTACAAACATAAGGTATGTGCTATAACAACATTCAATTAAGATTCCTATCAAGCAATAATGAGCAAATAGTTGTCATAAGAACAAAAGATCAGTATATAAGGGGACATGATATTAAACCACAATAATGCTAACCTGTTTTATGATAAAAGCTGACATCATTAGAGGAACCTGTTCCAGCATCATTAAGAGGAGAAACTGATATGATATTCAATTTACAAGGATCGGGATTAGTAGCTGATATTGTAATATTAGTATTATTATTATTAGTAGTAATGTTCACTAATCCATTGACTATATAGTATCCAGTGATAGGTACATTATCCAGTGTATAAGGAGCTGTCCATGTTAATAATACACTGGATCCATTAATAAAAGTATAATCCAGATTGTCAACATTATCCAATAGACCTATAACAAAAGCATGTATACATTCGTTGTTTCAATGATATTAACAAAAATTTTTATAGTACTATTGTGGAAGTATTGGTGCACTGTTTTGAACCAGAAGCACAGAGCAAACAAGAGAGAAAATCTTTCCTATGGACAGTTATAAATCTCATTTCCATGAAACATGTGAATACTGAGATAAGAGTACACAAGATTTTAGTGGCTATTTTATAGAACAGTTTGCACTGAACTAGATAGCCTAAGGGCAAAGTATTTGGATGAGTTGCATTATATATAGAACGTGGAGTTTATAGCTTATACAAGTGCTAATAGAGTATGCATGACATACATGTAGTCATGCACGCATGATTGACACAAGTACACACACTAACCTTGTATCATTAATATTGCTGTATTACTCAACTCAATCATAGGAGGTGGACCATAAGTAAATGCTCTACAGCTTATATTAGTATTATTATTATATTCATAAGCTTTTGCTTGTAGTTCTGCTCTTATAGTACTGTTACCATAATTCTTTGATGTTGCTTTAAATCCACTACCTATAACAGCTTGATTATCTGCTGCTTCATCATTAACTGTAAAGCTAAGTTGGCCAGTCACAGCTTCACAAGAGAAGACAACAGTGGAATTGAGTGTTGTATTAATAGATACTGGCTGTACTGTTATATCTAAATATATTGGAAGCAAAACTTTTAGTGTAGAGTACTCTATTGATACTTACTACTAGCACAGTGACTCAACTGAAGTAGGTCTACAAGGATAAAGAAAAGTAATAACACCATTGATAACATCAAGAGCCACTTTTGACAATTAACACTGACATTACAGGAACGCTAGCACGACTACGAGATTAATAATTAGATCTAGTCTAAATCTAATAAATAATTAATAACTGGCTACGCCCTTCAAAATGTTGAGCATCATTTTGCTTCTTTTGCTGCCGTTCATTGACTGTGCTAGTAAGTAGGCTTATATATCAGTTTAACAACTATTTTATTGCTTTTATAGATATAACAGTACAGCCAGTGTCTGTTAATGCAACACTCAACTCCACTGTTGTCTTCTATTGTAAAGCTGTTGCTGATCAACTTAGCTTTATAGTCAATGGTAAAGCAGCAGATGATGAAGCTGTTATAAATAGAGGATTTAGTGCAACATCAACTAACAATGGTGGTACTAGAAAAGTAGAGCTACAGGCTATAGCTTATAATTATAATAATAATACTAAGCTAACATGCAGAGCTGTTACTTATATTCCTCTTCAGGCAGTATCCAGTAACATATCAGTATTAATGATACAAGGTTAGTAGACTATGTGCACTGATGTGCATGTCTATGCCATCCATATTTATGATGCATCATTATTTTTCCTTTGATAGGCCTATTATATGGTGTTAGTAATCTGGATTATACTTTTATTAATGGATCCAGTGTATTATTAACATGGACAGCTCCTTATACACTGGATAATGTACCTATCACTGGATACTATATAGTCAATGGATCACTGAACATTACTTCAACTACTAATAATAATACTAATATTACATTATCAGCTACTAATCCCGATCCTTGTAAATTGAATAACATATCAGTTTCGCCTATCAATAATGCTGGAATAGGTTCATCTAATTACGTCAGTTTTTATTTTAAAACAGGTATAGCATCATTACAATGTCATTATATTCACAGTATATCTTTCAGTTCCTCTTATCACTCCCAATGTATCAGTTGTGGTAATATTAGTTGATGGACAACAAATATTATTAAATATCAGTATTAATGTAAGCGTTATCTACTGAAGTATTTGTCACAATATTGGTTCAATTTCTCTATATACACTGCAATGATAGGTCAGCACGATATGTAAAGGAGAGTTTCCTGATAATATAACAATTATTATACTCAATAATGAAAATACAATTGTAAAAATTGCCATTATAATACCACAATTTAATGATCAACTGATGACTGTAACTGGAAGTGCTTCAGTAACTAATTTAAATACATTTAATGTTAATGTATCATTGAGTAATAATGGAGGAGATTTTACTAACATGTCATCATTTTCATTTTGTAAGTAAACATATTCATTTACTAAAATTTTAGTTTTCCCTAATACATAGGTTTTCTTGGACCAGTTACTAACATTGACTCTTCAATTGGCAACTGTTCTACTATTGATATAACATGGACTGCTCCTATGGTTGATGACAGAGTACCAATACAGTATTACATACTAAGAACATACGATGCTATCACTGGTAGTCTAGTGGATACTGTATCAGTATATGATACCAGTTATCAGTTTGTGAATAATAACTTATTGATTCATCGTTATACATATGTTATAACTGGAGTTAATGAATTAGGAGAAGGAATATCTAATAATGAGACATTCTCATATCAAAGAGGTACGCATACACTAGAAGTCAGTAATGTTTATTGCACTGTTACAGCTCCCAGAACTGCAGAGAACACATCGCTTGCCGTAATCTCTTATACACAAGATGCAGCTATCATCCAACTCCATATTCCAGTATAAATTAATACTTTTATTAATATTGTTGTCACTAATTTATAGATTATATTGAAATGTACTGGTGAAGCTCCCAAACATATTACAGTTACTGTAGTATGTCATGGGACCAATAGCAGCAAAACTTTCCAAATAAAACACACAAATAAAATAACAGAATTAATATCAGTACCTAAGAACCAACAGTGCAATATGACTATTGCATTTAGCAATGAAGCTGGTAGTAGTGACCCATTTATATTACCATTTGGTCAGTTTTGTGCTTGTAATACAGTGTCTAATTAGATTCTCATTAACAGATACATATCCTAATATCACTACTAGATCTACTACTACACAACTGCTCCCTACTATCACACAACTCACACCTGTTTTAACAAATCTTCATATCGGTATTGGTTAGTATGAAATTTTCATAATAAAGATTACCGTGCTACTATAGGTATCACAGGAACATTTATTGGTGTTATTATTATACTCATAAGTTTGATTATTCTTGTCGTTATATACAAAAGGAAGTCATGCAGTAAGTGTTAATACACTCAGCAGTTAATTCATTATAGAAGCTGAGGTGAAACTATGTCAATAATTAATAGGGTTAACCTCAGTACAGCAACAAGGGGTACCTACTGCATATAATGAAGCATATCAGTGTCCACATGACATAATGATCAATGATACTCCTACATGTGAGCCTACATATGAAGAAATAGGAGAAAACAGGACAGGAGCAGCAGTTAACATGTGAATCATTGTTAGAAAACATATTTTAGCTACTAATCAGTATGTTTACATTTGTAACTTGGCTACTTCTTTTTTTTAATATCAGATTAATTCTTTGTACAGTAACTTTAAAAATGTAAAATACTAAGGGGCTCAAACTTCTAATCATGCCTAGATATGTAGATAGATACATGTACATACAAAGTGAGGGCTACTTCATTTGAGTGGGGTCTAATATTTTCAGCAGAACACACTCTAATGTGAACATAACTAAACCCGCTCTATTATAACATGACGGTCCTTCTACAGTCCAGAAAACAATTATTATCAAAACTAAGAGAGAGAGAGAGAGAAGTCAATTCATTACAAATGCAGTTGAGTTACATTATAATAATACAGCCGTCCATAAAATAATGACATTAAGAGTGATTAGACAAATTAGGTGAATAATTCTGCTGTCTTGAATTATTGCTTAAAGGGACCTTAGAGCTATACTGACCATTGAGACTATGATCAGCATGATACCACATGTTAGTTTGTTGCTGTCTGCTCCCAAAAAGTGCTCCTCCTGATTGACCATACATAAGATTAGATTGATAGCCACTGCTGACAGGTTGATAGGAGGAATTCATGTAGGAAGGAGAGGCAGTGCTAGAGTTGATTACTGAAGGCAGTAAAGTTTGTTGCTGGTTCTGTTGTTGCTGCGAAGAGTATAGAGCTTGAACTGCTCCTTGAGTGGCTTGTATATTAGCCCAGTAGGCTTCTGTAGGATTAGTGTGTTGACTGCCTACCGGTATACAAATTAAATAAAATTTATCAATCAGCTCTATCAGATAGTTATACAAATATAATATTAAAAGATAACTGCTGCTATAATTTGTTTAGTAGGGTATGGTTTAGCAATATAAAAGGTGATTCCAAATAATGCCCCATGCATCTCTACATCAAATGCCCTTATATATGCATATGTATTACACAAAAAGTCCAAGTCCTCTAAAATCAAATATGGAGCCTTTTACAGTACGTCTTTTTGCCTCTAAAGCATTTTGAAAAAATTCTAACTTTTGATTTTTGTCAAACACGTTTTTGTTCATTAACTTTCATTACATATACATTACGAACCCTGCTATGAAAAACAATAAAAACTCCACTTGCAAGCAATACAAGTAAATTAAACTCTTATCAAGGTTTATACACAATGCATAGACATGTACAATGTACATGTAACTTTTAAAAAAACATTAAAAAAAAACTACATACCTGCAGGTGGTTGAGCTGCACCAGTATATCTAAAATAAGGATTCTTTAAATCGTAATGACATTTTGACACTTGTGACGTCCCTACTACATTAATTTCCATTTCAATATCATAACTTTGCCTATAAATAAAAGAGCAGAGTCCATTAATTATGTACAATATAATGATAAACAGAAGACTTATATAAGTACATCAGGGTTTCCCACAGATTCCTGCCAAGCAACTTCTCTCAGTGGATTGTCAAGTTACTCAAAATTGGGCCAAAGACCCAGTACAGGCCACAAGGTGTTTCAATAAAAATCACAAGGAAAAAATTCTTCATTTTTATAATTTGTCTTGATACATATATATGTTCTAACTTCTTAGGTTGTGTAGAATGTTTCAACTGATTTTGATCAAGTTTGGATTTATTACAGGTTTTTAAAGGTACAAAAAAAAATCAGGCAAAAGTCCCTGTACTATAGTACAGGGGTTTTGGCCAAATTTCATCAGAAATGAAAAGAAAAGAATTCTTCATTTTTATAATTTTTCCTGATACATATACATGTTTTTATTTTACAGTACAGTGCGAAAAAAAAGATAAGCAGCTACTCTACTTCTGCGTAGGTAGTTCGCTACTCCTTCGTTGCGCATGCACAAACCCACCAGTGGTAGTAGTTCACGTGGTCAGCAGCAGGACAGTAGCTCGACGGTGAATCGGGCGAAAAGCCTCCTAAACAGCCTTCTAACAGCAAAGAGCAGCAATAGAGATGAACTTGGAGAGCACAGACAGCCAAGAGAAGTATCCACAAGTCATTTGAGAGCCTCTAGAGTGCATGAGCGCTTGCTACTACAGAACATGTGACTGGGCAGTACCGCAGTACTTCCTGGGGGTAGCGCAGCAAAGAGTAACGAAGTAAATTACTACCTACACACTACCTGCGTACTACTGTTGCTACTTATCCTTTTTTTCGCCTTCTACTGTATGTACAAGTTTGGATTTTTTATAAATTTTTAAATTTGCTCAAAAATCGGCCCAAAAACCAAAGGCTATAGCCTTTGGTCTCAGGCCAAATTTCGTCAAAATTGGCTAGGAGAGAATTTTCTATTTTTATAATTTTTTTTCTGATACATATACATGTTCTTATGTTGTGTACAAAATTTGAGCTGATTCTGATCAAGTTTGGATTTTTTATGAATTTTTTAATTTGCTAAAAAATCGGCCCAAAAACCAAAGGCTATAGCCTTTGGTCTCAGGCTAAATTTCGTCAAAATTGGCTAGGAGAGAATTTTCCATTTTTATAATTTTTTCTAATACATATACATGTTCTTATGTTGTGTACAAAATTTGAGCTGATTCGAATAAAGTTTTGATTTTTTAATGAGTTTTTAAAGTTGCTCCAAATGCCATGTACTGTACCGTAGTGCTTGTCAACTCATGCATTCTCTTTAGCTCACTTAGCATGCTTTGTGGGAAACCCTGAAGTACATACAGATACATGTACAATACCTCTCATTAGCTTTCATATTGATAACACCAGCTAGCTCCTGACCGGCAGAAACAAATAATGGGGTCTTAAGGACACAGCGTACCTAAAAAAATGATGTCATTAATTAGCACCTTAGCATAGACAATACATAGACTTATATTTTTAGTTCCTACATAAATTCAAAAAGACGAGAGTAGAGTAGCTTCCAATGACAGTAACAGAGGGTAGAACATAAGAACCATAATTGCATCAAGTAGGTTGGACAAAGTGAACAAGGGAATATTGAATACTACTCAGTAAACAAAGCGAACTTGTAATGTAGCTACTAATACTATACTGTACCAAGAGTGGATATGTGTCACTGAATTTTATGTTCATTAATTACTAATAGTACTATTGGTAGTATTAGCACATACAATGAGCAATGAAGCTTACTTGATACCAGTGAGTGACTGGTTGAAAAGGAGCAGTTGAGAGCCACACGGTTTGCCTATAGAATGAGAAACCATAATAAATTGATGCACAGTACACTATGTACATGTACATGTAGTAATAAAGCACACTTGAATGGGTTAAAAGTAAAGAACTCAATAATAAAACTGCTAAAATTAATGTTCACATGTATATACATAATAAAGTGTACTGTGGCTAAAACTCAGTATTGTTTTACAGTTGTTAGCATACAATACTTGTTATGAAACTTACGATGATCCATTGAATGAGACATCAAACCAGAACGCTAGTCCATGAACATTCCCACTGTTCCAGACCTTAAATGCCACTGGAATCGTTATACTAACAGAACAAATGGATAAAATAGCATTTGAATTAAGGTACACATGTACATGTACATGCATGTATACTGTATAGTGGGAAATTTTGGATGGAGTAAAATTTGGCGAATTGCTAAATTTCGGTAATTGGCAGATTTTAATTTGGCAAATTTGTGGCCATGTGTCATTGAGCATGCACATAATGGCTCAAAATGGCGAATTTTTATTTTGACAATGGTTATCAAAATGTCAATTTACCAAATTTAATTACCTCCGAAATTACCCGCTATACGGTACTATAAAACCAGAAATGTAGCGATGTAAAGTACATGTAGGTAAAAATGAAGATGAAACCTACTGTAATTTGTAATGTTCATGTACATGTAAATGTATTTACTATTGAAAAACAGTTGCTAGTAATGCTATTGTTTCTGTTTACATTATGATATTCCCATCTACTAAACACTGAACAATTGAAAGAATAATTTGCTGTAATTTCTGTCACATTCAACACGTCCCCATTTTTAACCAGTTTATACGTACATGTACTATACGTGTACATGTACATTAACTATAGCTGCCCTATGCATAAACTGTTATTAACATTTTTAATCTACTCCAAACCTAATGGTGGATAATTGTCGTATAGCAGAAAATTTTGGAGAAAATTAAATTGGCAAATTTGGCGTTTTGATAGCCATTCGTCAAAATAAAAATCCGCCATTTTGAGCCATTAATATACGCATGCTCAATGGCACGTGGCCACAAATTTGCCAAGTTAAAATCCGCCAATCACCAAAATTTAGCAATTCGCCAAATTTACCCCCCCTCCAAAATTTCCCGCTATACGATAGATTACTCACTTGTGTAGAGCTGATTCTGTGGTTGTTCTGAAGTCGACAGTGTGTCCAACAGGAGTCGCCAATAATATACGGACATCAAAAGTATCCTACAGGTATCAATAAGCAATATACGTAAGGCACCTTTTTCAAGGGCTGTAAATTTCACAGATTTTGCTATTTTTGAAACATTTGCAAAAATTACTTCCGCAAAAATCAAATTAATACAGTACAAGATGGCAGACGGCATAAATTCACGAAAATTAAATCCACAAAATAAAAATCAGTGAAATCTATAGCCCTCAAAAAGGCACCCTACGGTAATTGAAAAACAAGACAGCATCAAGAGACTAACCACAACAGGTTGATTGAAATATTCATCAAGAGCTGCATCTCTTATTGACGTGAGATCCATGCCATGAAAATGTTGTTGATACCTACAAACGACAAAAGAATGATCTTTAAAATGTACAGGGACTTTAATCAAATTATTATTATTATTATTATTATTATTATTATTATTATTATTATTATTATTATTATTATTAATTTTTTCCAAGTTTTATGACTAGTTTTACATGTAAACCCTACGCAAAAATAGTCATTATACATGTACATGTACTTAGAAAGTTTAAGATAATTCCAATCAAATTTGAATTTTTAAAGGTTCCTCAATAATTTAGCTAAAGCCTTTGGTCTTCAGCCAAATTTTATCAAGAGATTTCTCCATTTTACATGTACTTAAGTTTCGTAGAAAGTTTGAACTAATTCTGATCAAAATTTGATTATTTTTGAAGTTGCTCCAAATGTCATGCACTGTGAAACCATAGACACTGTACAATGTCTATGGTGAAACCTTGCCTTGATGTGGATTGTACATGTATTTGGCTCCAACCCCATGAAATCACAAAGTGCCACTCAGTTACAGGCTATGTAAACTGTCAACCACAAATATCAAAACCACGAATTGTCCCACTACAAAACATTAAGATACAAAATAATCATGGGACAATTTTTAATCAGAAAAAATGTATCAAAAATTGGAGGACTCTCTCCAAGCCATTTTTCATAAAATACCCAGTACTATAAGTCATACATGGTCTTTGTTCAACTGCAGTGCTACTTTATCACTATTATAAATAATACAAACAAAATAATTCCCAACACCAAAATTACTGGCTATATGGTACCTACACAAAGACTGTGTTACATGTACATGTACACTTTGTTTATTATACAATTGTAAATGGATCCATATTAAATAATAAAATAAATACATGTATATGTATGTCATCTTCTCACCAGAATGATATCTTGTTACAAAGCTCAATATAAAGCAACTCATCAGTAAAAGGAGCACAGTATAGGATCCCTTGGCTGGGAAACATCTTACCTACAACACAATGAAAGGAATACATGTACTAAAGTTTAGTAGCAATGAAATACATGTACAAACAAAATTCCGAATCAATTTACAAGCCAATATATGAAATTAATCACAATGCTAATTTAAAATTATGTAGGATGTACTGAGCTAATGGAAGGCCAAGGGTTTCCCACAAAGCGTACTAAGTGAACTAAACATGAGCTGACAAGCAGGTACAGTACATGTACATGGCATTTAGAGCAACTTTAAAAATTCATAAAAAATCCAAAATTGATTGGAATCAGCTCAAATTTTCTACACAACATAAAAATGTGTATAATGTATTAGAAAAAATTATAAAAATGAAAAATTCTCTCTTAGTCATTTTTGATGAAATTTGGCCAAAATCACTGTACTATAGTACAGGAACTTTGGGCCAATTTTCGAGCAACTTTAAAAATTCATAAAAAATCCAAATTTCCTTGGAATCAGCTCAAATTTTCTACACAACATAAGAACATGTATATACATTTGTAAGAATTATAAGAATGAAGAAATCTCTCCCTGTGATTTTTGTCAAAATACCCTGTACTACATGTATATAGAACAGGGCTTACAATCTACTGACAAGAAGTTGCATGAGCACTATGCTACAATGGTAAACCCTATAGTGAAGGCATCCAATTTTTAATTGCATTGCTCAAATGTACATGTACATGTACATATCAAATTAAAGCACTGTGGTCATTATCAAACAAGCTAGCACAAGTTAACACAAAAGAAATATACATGAACTTCCCTCCCTCTTTCCTTCCTGTCTAGTCTAAGCATTATCAAAACAGATCTTTAATAATTTCTATCACAATAAAAGTGTATTTTCAGTGCACTCATATAATACAACAAAATGAATAAACGGCAATGATAAATAACTTTTTGCAAACAAAAATTATTTCCTTCCCAACATGCATGTACATATACTGTATAGCGGGTAATTTTGGAGGGGATTAAATTTGGCGAATTTGGCATTTTGATAGCCATTCGCCAAAATAAAAATCTGCCATTTTGAGCCATTACGTGCATGCTCAATGGCACGTGGCCACAAATTCGCCAAATTAAAAACCCGCCAATCACCAAAATATAGCAATTTGCCAAATTTTAGCCCCTCCAAAATTACTCACTATATGGTACATGTAAGAATGAAACTGTGTGTGTGTGTGTGTGTATAATGATAACTCACCATCAGGTTTAAGCCACTTCCTTGCATGTACATAGCTCTCCAGCATCCTCTCATTGAAGAGCATATAACCCATGGGCTCCGATACGACAACATCGACTGTCTCGGGTAGATCAATCTAAAGATTAAAGTATCGTTCAAAAATTTTGGCATTGTTTATTTTAAAATACTTCATATATCTTGTTTATCACTATCATTCATTGATAATGAATGATACATCAAACATATTAAATTCAGTACTAAAATCAAATAACTAAGAGTGGTCAATAAACATATTTATAAGTGATGAATTATAGTATTCATGAGTAATGACAAAGCTTATACAGTAGATTCACACAATACCGTATAAGTGGTTTTCCTGAGGGTTACAAATTTTGCAAATTTCTTCCTGATTCGTCAAAAAAAATCCACGATAATAAATTTAATACGGTATCCACATGGCACAAAGTAGAATTCACAAAATTAAAATCTGCATATTGGAAATTTAGTACGTTTCTCAAAATGTAATTCCCTTGAAAAAAACCACTTATACAGTACACAACTAGGAAGCTCACCTCTTCAACTTTGCCAGCAATTACTATGATTTTACTAGCTAGTTTGTTTGATTTGATTAGCTTCTGACAGTGAACTGCCATACTGCTGGCCTCTATAGCATACACTTTCCTAGCACCAGCTTGAACAGCAAACACTGAAAGGATACCAGAACCAGCTCCTACATCAACCACCACCTGAAATTAATAAAATCATCAATAGAGAATACATACCATATAGCAGGAAATTTTGGAGGGAGTTAAATTTGCTGAATAGCTAATTTTTGGTGATTGGCAAATTTTAATTTTGCAAATTTGTGGCCATGTGCCATTGAGCATGCTCATAATGGCTCAAAATGGTGGATTTTTATTTTGGCAAATGGCTATCAAAATGCAAATTCATCAAATGTAACTACCTCCTAAATTTCCTTCTATACGGTAGTTCTGCCTATGGTGGTCGGGGGTGGTCGGGATAACCACCTCAACAAATGAACCAATCAGTTTATCACTTAGACCAACCAATACATAAAGTTATTATGGTTATTGTAGTCTATTAGTATGGTGTATATAAATTTAAAAGAAACAATATTAGCCTCTAACCACCTCAAATTTTTTTAGGCAGAACACTGCTAAATATTATTAAAAGAGTATAATATTATGATATAAAGTTGTACAATGTGGCCTTCCAGGGATAATAATAATGACAGCCAGCGATCTGTCTGCCATACTGCCAAACACCCATTTTTGATGTGACGTGTGTAATTTTCTGTAACTAATCAAAATGAAAATCAGAATATTCTGATACAGCAATGCTCAGTTGAAAACAAGTAAAAACAATAAAATTAAATGCATATGTACATGTACACAAGAGTAGGTTAAAGCACGTACTTTATCTTTGAAATCAATCGAATTCTGTAGCATTGCTGACTGATAAGTTGACGTCCGTACATAATCCTAAAAATCAATAATAGTCACATGACTTAAAATTAGGTTTGTGAATTTTAACATTCAGTAAGACAGTAACATGTGATTAAGGCTGCGTTTACACAGCAATGCAAAACGTATCGTTTTTAAAAGGATACACTTTGAACACCGTTTTCATTTACGGATTGCATCGTTTTCGTTGCTATGTAAACGCAACCTAAATAATAAACTAACTACCAGTACATGGTAATTAGCAAAATACCAAAAATTAGCACTCAAAATCCCAAAAGAACTCATTAATTAACTATTCATACATGTAAATTGTCTCTGCATGGGTTAGGGCCAACATGGATGATACGGTTTGGGATTACTTCTTGACAGGGAAACTACATTTTTTGTCACAATAACAATAAATTTTAAACTACAAGTGTTTTCCACTAACAAAATTCACCAGCTGTAGCATTAAAACTATTAAATCAATAATATAATGAACCTAGCTTATGTTTATCAATAGCATTTTTACTAAGATTAAAAGATTTGGAAGTTGGAACTAAAACAAAATGAAGCAAAATTGAACAATGCTAAAAATATATTCTTTTAGTAAAAGCTTAGCTTCATGAATATTCTATTCTATTGCAATAAAAAGTCCTCAATAAATTCTAAACTCTTTCGATTCTACCATTAGCTACATATAGCCTGGCTATACTTGGTCATTCTTGTGAGGTTAGTTGTATAAACATCAAGTGGCCAACACCACCACCTCAAGATAAGAAGGCCAGCCTCTTTGATGTTTGCACAGACCAAATCTCTGAAAAAGCTGCCAAGGTCATTGCATTGGCTCTTAAGGTTAATGAATGACCAGAAGAACTGCTAATGCAACAAGTAGTGCAGAATGGGTTACAAATTGTATTAAATGCAGTTCTAGTTGCAATAAAATATCCTTAAATTAAATAAGGCAGCATTCCTGGCTGTACATGGTACTACATGATAGTAAATAATGAGCAAACTATTTGTAAATGGAAGCAAACAGGCAGGAACAAGCTTCCAGTAACAGTGTCACCTTTTAGTACCAACAGTCATTGCAATTTAATGAATAAGTAATACTTCATTTCGTGAGCTTTGTAATGGAACACACCATATATGCCACCATATGCCATCAACATCAACGCATTGCAAACACTTTAAGCAAAGCATTACTAAATTAAAATACAAAATAATAATAATTATTATTATACCTGCATCATGTTTTGCTGTTGCGAAAGAAATCCATAAAACTGGAAATACTGACTTGCTGAGGCTTCATCAGTTCTTAGGTTAAATACGGATTGTTTTTTATTTCCTTTCTTGCTGCTTGGATCAAACACGGACTGGACTTGATGGAGTAGTGTACCAGTATCTATAAATAATGAGTCATCAGTCAAGCAACTGTTAACTTGCAGTAGTAGCAACTTCAAGAGTAGATGACTAATTATCTATTCTACTCTTGGCAATGTATATCACTAATTATTATCTAAACATGATTCAGTAATTATTATTTTACAAAAGAAACACATTATAGTGTAACTTAGCAAATATCAATTGACAAAATATTATCACATTGAATTGATGATAACAAATAAAATTATAAAGAGGTCAACACTACCATTAGCCATCATAATATGTGACCATAATTGACAAAAGGGCCCTTATGGCGGATTTTAAAATTGATTGTTATAATGGAAAATATCAACCTGTGAGTGCTTTGTTAGACAATCATTGTTTCTAAAAGTTTCATGGTAACTTTTTGCATCCTGTGGAGTAATTTTATGATAAATGGGGCTCAGGAAGTTGGATTTCTTAGGCTAGAAAGACAAATTTCACTACCCGCCATAAGGTCCCTTTTGTCAATTATGGTCACATATGTAGAAATTTTCATTTATTGTGTTTAATTTAAAATCACTCACACTGCCATTGTGCCCAATTTGTCTAAATATGCACACAAAAATCTTATAATTTTGAGACAAAAATTTGGAAAATGCAAAAATTTAAGCATACAAATGATTCAAGACAGATTATAAATACCATTATCATGCGAGTTTTATTTGGGTGACAAACAAAAAATCGTACAAATTGGTAGGTAAAGTAATTGCTTGATACTACTATAATAAACACTAAAATTTAGCAACAATACAAGTTCAGTAAATACTCCTTACCACTGTGACTATCAAGTGTAACCATTACAGATCCTTGTGGTACTCTGAATAATATAACATCAGAGCCACACTGGTAAACTTGCTGAGCATCTGTTAGTTTCACACTCCACACAACTTTCTCTAAATCTGTCAGCAAAAGAATTAGAGCCACGCATGCACACGCCAGGGCTTACCTCGTTCCCTGAATTCTAATATACAGCGTGTGTTAACAGTATCATTAATCACTTTAAGGTTCAGGCAGTTGGAGAAGGTTTCCAGGTCTTTCAGATTGTCATCGACCACTTTCATACGTACAGTCATCATTCCTGACGCTTGCCCTCCAGCAGAAGAGGACGTTGAGGAAGGTGACGCTATCTCTTGTTGCTCCATGTCTTCCATAACTTTAGCTGTACCATGTGGCTTCCTCTTTCAATCACATGATCATACCATTAAGATTAATAGGTCATCCACCACTCCCATCAATAAAGCTCTGCTTTAGTGCATTTATTATAAGTTTTAAAGTAAAAGTTCACACAAAAAAATTTCAAACCATTATGAAGGAAAAGCAAAAAATTATGTAGAATTTATCTAACTAAAATAGAGTTATCTAGCTACATCTACAATAAAGTGGTACAAAAATTAAGTAAAAAAGAAAGAAAAAAATGATAGCAATAATTAATGTTCTCGCAATCAGTAAACTTGCCAATTATCATTGTTTTCATCACAAATTAGTGACTCTCTTTTCCTAAGTACAAATGAGCCATCTTCCTTGTACAGTTCTAATGATGATGCATCTTCAATCTCAGCATGCCTGTTATTATCCAACAGCTTAATATGAAGCATTGGAATGTTGGATGGTAATTGAGTTTTTCTGAGCTTAATCTTTTTTTGCAAGTAATCTCTCACTTTTTTAAACAATTTTGTTTGCCCCAAATGGCATAAAATTATCAAAATGAAAGCTACAAAAGCAAGAGACAAAGAGATTGAACTAAGTACGTATACCGAAGAACTTAAGGATGAAGTAGCCAAAAACAAAAGATTAAAGATGAAAAAGCATTCTAAAAAGTTATTGATCTTCCTTCGATAAATTCCCTTAAATATTGCTATTAAACTTAAAAGAAATCCTGACACAATGATTAGAGCCATTATAGAACCTATATTTGGCTCAGCCAATACCAAAAGTAACAATAAACATCTCATTAACAGAAGAAATCCAGTCCATGATCTATAATTATCAATATATGGACCATTGTAAGCATCAAAGAGAGGTTTAAGTTTTACCCAACATTGACAGCATTTATACTTTGAAATGTAGCGCTCAACAAGAGGACTGAATAGAATGAGTAATGTGTAAGGTAGAACAAGAAAAATTACTGTTGCTAATGCTGGAATAAAAAGAAACAAATGTTCTGGTTTAAAGTAGATAACTGTAGCATCCATAGACCATGCAACAATTTCTTTGTCTCCGGGTTCACATGTATAAGTGATTGGAAGTATTGCATAGTTGCATAAACGAAGTATTTTTGTGAAAGAGAGGAGTAGAACTGTTGCCAGAACTGATATAGCATGCCTTCCTATAAGTCTGGATACTTTGAATGAATAATGAGAAAGAATAATGACAAGAATGATAAGTAGCCACAAGTAAGCTAGGAATAAAAACTGAAGGAGCATTTTATGCAAAGTTGTCATGCCATCATAAAAGCACATTTCGATTCCCCAGTCTAGGTTAAGCCATGAAATAAACACTTTAAAAAAATCTGACTCAGATGGAATTAGAAACTCATTCATTTTTACCATATTAGCATAAAATATCAATCCATTGATGGAACCTACTGACACAGTAAGATTCAAAGCTGTTATGAAGGCAATTAAAACTATACCAGCTACTCCAAAAAGAATTAGCAGAGCTAACCATTTATCAGAGCACTCACTACACCTATCTGATCCCAACATCATGCTGAGCCCTTCATCACATTCTCCACAAAGGAGACCGGATCTATTTAAGTCACATTGTTTCTCTGTGGTTGAAAGAGTAAAGTTGATAGGACTCATTTTACAATGCTGTGATTTGCAGGGTAATTTTGAAATAAAGCAACGACTCTCCTCTACATAACCTATCCACATG